AAATAAGGAATAGTTGTATTAACCGTACATGGAAACAGTTTTATGGGGCCCCCAGGAACGTGGGGCCCTAAGCAACTGCCTACTATTGCCTAATGGTAAATAACCCCCCTGATAACAGTGAATGTTAAACTGGTGGATCTAGGTTTTGGTCTCAGTTTGATCCAAACCTCTTTAACGGGATATTCCTGACTATATAAGCTATAAAATCAACCACTTCCTGTTTCCAGGTGGTAGCGGCCGGTAGAGGTGGAGATCTGCACTGGAACCAACCTGAGGATCATCAATGAAGAAGCTGACACATCCTGAATCCACGTTAAAATCTATCCAGAACTCGTCCAGCTTGTCGTCTTTGGGTCGGAACAACTGCAGGAAAACATGATCGGATGAGTTGAGAGTTCCAGCTCTGATGGACGGCAGGTGGAATAAAAACCCACCTGGGTGGAGCTGAGGAAGGCCTGCAGGCAGGGCAGCGAATAAACTCTAGAGGACAGAAATCAAACAGAACCGTTCCCCACATGAAACATCCTCAGGTCGTCCAAAACAAACCCAGAAATCAGAGCAAAGCATCATCAGGATGTTTTCAGAAATACTTCATAAACAAACAGACGCCATCACCTCCTCTCGTCTCCATGGGAACCATTAACAAAGTTTAGGAATCGCCTGCAGTCCTGCAGACATAGGCGGGTGTAGATCAGAGACAGGTAGAGCGGGTGTCCATGCCCACAAGGTGAGTCGCTCACTCACCACCTCAAAGTCAGAGTCTCTGATGTCACAGAAGGCGGAGCTGATGTTACTGTCAGAGAACCACTGATTGGCTCTCTGCTCACGCCCTCTGTGAGGCGTCAGGCGGCACAGCGCCTCCGATAGGCTGACCTGGAACTCGTAATCTGGAAAGAAAACTAGAAACATGGAGACATTTTCTGGCTGTATTTTCAGGAACAGGATGGCGGTTTAGCTCCAGGTTCTCCATGTTTTCTGAAGGACTGAAATGGTTCCTCAGCCCAGTAACGCCAGACTGATTTACTTGGTGCAGTTTGATTGGTTTTCCACCTCGATGTGGGCGGGACTTTTAACAGTGAGGTGACCCCACAGTCAGAGTAACACCATGTGATCTTAAGAGCCAACCAAGTAGCTGCTGCACGGTCTGGCTGTTGATGTACTGCCAGCAGCGACACACAAAACCCTGAATCAGTACAGCAGGAGAGGAATGCTACAAATCAGTGTCCTACACAAGGATATGTGATGGGAAGCTAATGCTACC